CAGGCTTGGGGTGGATGGGTGTGTCTGTTTCTTCCACCAGTCAGCTTCTTCCTAGTCTGCTCCAGTGGAAGTCCAGAGAATAAACATTAAGCAGCCCCCAGCATGGCCTTCCCCCTGAGGGTGTGATTTCTCACTTTCTCACTGCTTCTTTCTGTCTCTCAGGCAAGGATATGTGCCCTAGAAGAAACTCGGGGTTTGTCTCAAACAGCAAGAGTAAGAAACACTTCCTCTAAGATCTAGGGCTTACTTAACATCTTCATTAAGGAGCGAAGCAGGATTTGAACCAAACGCTGGCTGACCGAAAGCCTCATCATTGCGGAACCAGAGACTCTCCTCAGCCGGCGTCCCATCCCCATCACTCTGGCTCTCTCCTGCCTGGACCTGAAGCGTGGTTCTGAAACTGAGCAGGGACCCCCTAAGAGAGATGGGTCCTCAGTTTCCCTTTGTGTTAAAAGAAAGAGAGACCAGCAGTTAGCGTAATGGTTATGTCGCTGAACTCCCATGTAGCTGACCACAGTTCGAGTCCAGGACCCAGTGACTTAAACTCACACCCGGTGCGTGTCCGTGCGTGCCCAAGATCCCAAGAGGAGAATGGAGGAGAAGAGATTGTGGCGTGGCCATCCACCCTGGGAGGTGATTTCTCGCTTTCTGTCTCTCTGTCTCTCTCTTTCTGGCGAGCACACGTGGCCTATAGAAAAAAAATTCTCCAAAAAAAAAAATAAAAAAGAGAGAGAGAGAATTTTCCACACTAAAATGAATAAGGGTTGAACTAAAAAAAAAAAAAAAGTGTATTTTTTAACATTTTTAGAATACAAGGATACGAGGTCCATTACACTGTGGCCCAGAGTAAGGAGTGAGTCTTCAGACTTTGGTTATGATAAATGAGACAACACAGACCATAAATAAGGGCCATTTGAACTCTGAAACTCTCACTTAAAAGAGAAGGTTTTCATTTCAATATGTAAGGCGTGTCATAGGATGGAAACTGCTGGCTGTGAGCTCAAAAGACCCCAGGCTGAATGGCTCCAGAAACCAGAAGGGAAATTTGATGATTTAAGGCTTCGTGAATCAAAAATACCCATGAGGAGACGATTGCGGATCGAATCCCAGACCTAGTGGCTTAAACTCACGCTGGGCGCCCGCGTGTGCGGGGATGGGGTTTGTGGGGGCTGATTTCTCCTTTCTCTCTCTGGGTCTCTGTCTTTCTGGCGAGCTCACGCCCTGTAGCAAAACTTGAGACCGCCCTCTTGAACTACGCAACTGGTCACGTGCCTAGGAGCTCTTTCCCCTAAAGTTGTAAAAACTACGTGGGGAACACCAGGGTGACCCCGTCTTTAAAAAGCCTAGGTCAATTTCCAGCCCAAACAAATCCTGGCGCCCAAAACGCTCTGGGGCTGGGGTCCCGCGTCGGTAAGCGCCGGGCGGCGAGGGCGTGCGCGTGCGTGTGCGTGTGCGAGAGGGTGGCCGACGGGTGCACGAGAGTTTGAAGGACGTGGTGGCGTGGGGGGGTTGGGGTGCGGTGAGTTCACCAGACTCGGGGCGGGTGTGGGCAGGGCCGCACTGTTTTTAGGGCGGAAATGTCTGGAGATGCGCCAGTACCTGGGCCCCGCAGAGGGGGTGGCGTGAGTGTTTTAAGCCGGGGGTACCCCGTCCCCCCTCTTCCCCCACGCTCAGCAGGAGGGAGGCCGTATCTGAGGACTCCGCGGGCCCGTGGGGAGGTAGGTGGCAGTCCGGAAGGAGGCCCGCGGGGAGTCAGGCGTATTGGGGTCCGGGGTAGGGTCGGTGAGTGTCTAGGGAGGGGCCAGTAGGGAAGGAAGACGAGGGACGACAGAGTATGGGAAAACAGCCTTCTTTGCTGTTCTTGAAACAAACATGATCACCAAGTATCTACTTTCCAAAGTATTCAAAAAAAGTCAGGTTATTTTTCCTAGACATGGCAACCTTGCAGGAGGCGCGGAGGAGGGAGGTGGTGGGAGGTCTGTGGGCGGGAGGGGCATTGTCCTGGGAGAGGGAGTGTGGGCGTCGTAAAGGTCTTGTGTATCAAGTTTGGGATTTTCCTTTTTTGTCCGCGTTCTGCTAGAGTTTGTGTAAGATTGTTATTTTCTTAAAGAGTTATTTTTATTTTATTTATTTATTTATTATTTTACTGGACCAGAGGGAGGGAAAGTGAGAAAGCAAGCCACCAGGTCTTGGACTCAAACCATGGTTGGCCATGTGGGATTCCAACACCTTAACCACCATGCCACCTGCCGGCTTTTTGTTATTTTATTCTCTTTTTCTTTTTGTTTTGAGAGAGAGATTTTTACTACAGGGCGCCTGTACTCCCAGGAAAGACAGAGACAGAAAGAGAAAAATTACCCGCTAGGAGGGATGGCCTGCAATCCCCTTCATTCTCTCAGGATTTGGGGCACACATACACCCTCACCCCGCGTGAGTTTTAAGCCACTGGGTCCAGGACTCGAACCCTGGTCAACTACATGGGAGTCAGCGATGTAACCATTACACCACATGATGGTCCCTGTTACCTTATTCTTTTTTTTTTTTTTTTGGAGAGGTTTTTGCTATAGGGCACATGTGCTCCCCAGAAAGACAGAGAGACAGAAAGCAAGAAATCATCCCCATCCCCGGGGGGGTATGGCCAGGCCACATCCCTTCTCCTCCATTCTCCTCTCAGGATCTTGGACATGCACACACATGCACTTGGCGTGAGTTTAAGCCACTGGGTCCGGGACTCAAACCATGGTCGGCTACATGGGAGTTCAGTGACATAGCCATTATGCTAACTGCTGATCCCCTTATTTATTTTTTTTTTAATTTACCTTTTTTTTTCTTTAATTTGACCAGAGAGAGGCAGAGAAAGAGAGAAAAGGAAAGTGAGAAAGCAAGCCACCAGGTCCAGGACTGGAACCACGGCCAGCCATCTGGGAGTTCAGTACCCTTAACCACCGCGGAGAGAGGCAGAGAATAATTTAACTTGTTTTAAAGAATATTTTTTTGTTATTATTATTATTCTTAATTTGACCAGAGAGAGGCAGAGAAAGAGAGAAAAGGAAAGTGAGAAAGCAAGCCACTTGGTTCGGCCCTAGAACCTCAGTCAGCCATGTGGGAATACAACACCCTAATCACTGTGCCACCTGCTGGGCCCCCCTTATTTTTAAATGTTCGGAAGTATTCAACAAGGAAGCCTGGACTTAAGTTTTTCTTTCGTTTTGTTTTTAAATAATTATTTTATTTAACTTTATTTATTTATTTCTTTTAATTTGACCAGAGAGGGATAGAGCAAGGGAGAGAGGGAGGGAAAGCGAGAAAACAAGCCGCCAGGTCCTGGACTCCAACCATGGTTGGCTGCTGGGGACCAGCCTCAGCGGGAGTCGGTTGACTCAACGGAGGCGGCGCTGGAAAGGAAGACTAAGGTCTCGGTGCCTTTTCATGCATGTCTTCAGCCGGACACTCCCAGAGATTGCTCTCTGAGGAGTGACAACTGCTAGGAATCATCATGCCTTTTTATTGAAAATGCAATACATACAAGTAAACGGGTGAGGGGCTATGTATTCTAATTATCAATTCATAAAGTTTTAACAATAGAAACCAGGGTTTGATTAAGGGCAGGTCTATTAATCATCGATACAGTTCAACAATTGTTTGATTGATGAAAGCAGGTTCCTGGTAACTTCAAGCAGTGCAGTTTCAGGAAACA